CGTCCAGAGTTTTCTGGGCGCTATGATATATAATTCAGCGAGGGCAGCAAAGCGAGAAGTCCAGCCATAACACTCACAAGTCCTGCGCAAACTTGGGGAGATCTTTGGGGTCTTTCAGGAGACCCTGCTCTATCAGCGCTCGCTGGCGTATCTGTAGCCTAGAGTTGACGGTGTGATGTCAGAGGTGTTATTGGTGATGCGCATTAATAGAGGGGACGCACTTTGAGCGAGGACTAGGTGGCGCCTTGTGATGCTTGCGGCGGGGCGGCCACTCCGGCTCGGGCGGCTTGTCCTTCCCCTTCTTTCCGGAGTCTCGACGTTCCTTTGCCTGCTTCGCCCTCTTCTTTCTCTCCTGAAATCTTCGTGAGTCGGGGTATCACTTGTGCTGTGAATAGCTACGTACCTGGAGCATGACCTGCATTCGCTGCCCTTCGATAGCACTCGGGGCGATGAGGTCGTCATTGCGGTGGGTATAGTGAACGCCGATTGCGTTGAGGGTCTTCTCGATATCGTCCGGCTTGTGGTCTAACTCGGGCGGCGCTGGAGACAGGTTCCGATGTGAGCAGTTGACAGAAGGCCATAAAACCGGATCCCCTTACCATCGTCGAAAAGTAGCGCTCCGAGACCGCGGAATTCGTCCTATGGTATGTGAGCGCGCGCATCATTAGCGCAGTTCTAGTGAATACATACGTAGTCTTTCCCAGTCTTCGCCTCCTCTTCATACACCCAATGTACGCCCGCTTTCTTGGCTTTGGCTTGAGGGCGCTTTACGACACCATTCTTGCCGCCCATGTACGCGAAGGCCCAGTCTAAGTCACTCACATGGGCCCGCTCGATCTGACAACCCGTGAGCATTACTGGCCTGAATCAGACATCCCAAATGAACATACCGCCATCTTCGTCGCCAGCGTGTGCTCGTGCAGCTTGAAGATGTTCTGGATACCAAACAGCTCTCCTTGCTTGTGCTTGTCTCCTTGCACACCCTCGAAATATCTGCGAAGATGCTTATGAGCGACATCATACATCAGAATGGCAGGAATACCGACCTCGTCTGAAGGCTGGCATTGTACCCGACCTGCATCTGCTGCTGCTTGTACACTTGACGCGCATAGATCAGCTCCTCGATGGATCCGGCGCCGAGCAGCCGATACACGGCCACGTCTCGCGTTTGTCCGAAGCGGTAGGCTCGATCCATGGCTTGGAGGTCATGAGCGGGATCTGCAGCAGACGATATCAGTACGTTCCTTCCTGGCCCGTTCTCAGCTCTACTCACTCCAGTTAGGATCTGATGCGCGGCGTTAGAAAATCATACAAGTGACTATGCAACTCTAGACACCCACCGAAGACGACGACCTTGTTCGCGGCTGTCAGGTTCAGTCCCGTGCCGCCGGCCATCGTGGAGATCAGGAAGACGAAGATCGCAGGATCTTCCTGGAACGTGTCGATCATTGGCATTCCTAACGGTAGCGTTAATGATAGTAAGAAGGCAGATCTACGGCCTACTCACGGTCCGGTTGCTTAGTCGAGCCATCGAGCTTCACGAAGCCGTAATCTGGATGTACACAAGGGAACTGTCAGCGTACTGCGAACAAAGGCTGACGAGACTACGAACTTCGGGAATTCAGGTGGAACTCCAACATCTCCAACAGCTTGACCGACTTGGTGAAGATCAGGACCTTGTTCCCGCCTTCTTTTTTCCATCCCTTGAGAAGCATTTCCAGCACCTGCACTTTCATCAGCACATGTGATGTTCGGCCGAAAAAAAGGGAAACTTACCTGCCACTTGCCGCAGTACTCTGGGCGCAGCATCGAGGGGCCGTACTTCGGAAGAGATCCAGAAGGAAATGCCAGTCTGGACAGCTCTCGGTTGCGTGCAGTCTACAGAAGGTCAGCGAAACTATCAGGACACCCAACGCGCTCGGCCGACAAACCTGGTCTACGGTGTCCGTCGGCGCTATTGAAGGCGATAGTCAGCAACTGTTCGCCGAATCAGACGCCGTGACTGACCTGGTAGTATCAAGGCCAAGTGATTGGCAATCTTGATCAACGTCGACATGTATTTGAAGAGGTCGCCCGGATGAACGGGATGGCAGCACTTCTTCCGCCTGTATGACGAGTTAGCGTGTGCGATGATGCCAAAGGTATGGCGTGTAGCGTACGCCTTCTTGGAACCGCAATCACAGGTCTTGTCCTTGTGGACCAGGTTTGCGACAGCTTCGAGGTCGAGGATGCGCTTGTAGACGGCAATCTGCACGGGGGTCAACGGGCAGAAGACAACTTGGTCTGTCTTTTGCGGAAGCTAGAGAGGGATGTTAATTTGCTGTTGGAACGGAGGTTTTTTTTACCGACCTGGTCCTGGATAATCTGTTTGGTCCTAAGGCAAGGTTAGCCTCTACATCCACCCAGCGTTAGAAGGCTACATACCTGCGGAGAAACAGGTGTGGCAACAACTTCTCGGTCAGGAGCTTGGCGACCAGCTATGGGGAATACGTCATCGGATGCGTCTTCGTATAGGGGACAGAGCACTCACAGCGGCCTGAACATGCTCTTCGTCCGTGGCAGACTTGCTCTGTCCAACACGCAACGGCTTCTCGACGTACGTCTCCCACTGCTTCTTCGTTCCGACTGCCCCTGGGTTTGTCCAGTCCAGCACAGTCCACAGTTCCTCATAGCCGTTCTGGATGACTGAGAAGTGCCGCCTAAGAACCTCGATTTGCGATGTATGAGAAATCGTCACGCACCTGTACCACTGAGCCCGAAGCGTTGTGAACAAGTAAACCGACTAAACGCTTCCGCTAGCTTCGAGCGCGGGTTCTTGACACGGTGTACTTCGTCGATGAAGATGCACGACCAGGGGAGCTCGTCGATAAGGTCGATGTCGATCCGGGCAACCTCGAAAGAAGTCACGACTGCCAGGCGCAAGTCAACAGGGCATCGGTGGTTATATGCGACATCGCTACTTACGGACGTCGAGGCGGCCTAGCTTGAAGTCGGTTAGGACGTTGGCGCGAGCCGTTGGTGGCCCGATGTACATCCCAACTTCGAAGTATCCCCACTACAACGGTCGTCCTTGAGAACATGCCCCGCGGGTTACAAATGTGTATCACACGCACCGTTTCGAATTCTCGTTCCCAATTGCCCACCACGCTACTTGGCGCAATGATGAGACACGTCGGCCAGGCTGCGTTCGCGGGAGGGAGTGTCCGATGGTCTTTCCAGTCCTTGCCTTTCTGTAGGCGAGCGACGTGGTCGCGACGTCGATCCACGTCTCGGCTGTCTCCGCGCTTGTGCATGATAGCGGAGAGGAACGAGATGACCTGGATAGTCTTTCCTGTGCGGTTATAAGTAACAATTCCCATAGCCGTCTTGACGCAAGTACTCACCCTGAACAGTTCGTCGTTAGTATCCTGAGAGCATCTCAAAGGTAAAATCTACTCACTAAACCCATGTCGTCTCCGAGGAGACCGCCCCGTCCTTCATTGTATCTTTCCCAGAAGAAGCGCACACCATCTCTTTGGTACTCGCGCAAGAACGTGTTGATGCTTCCTGGAACCTTGATGGCTTTGTCCAACTCTAATGGCTCGGCGCGAGTTTGTCCATCCTTCAGAGGGAAGACAGGACGGACTTGCACATCCTATGCAGGACTCAGCTTTTATTCTGGATCGTGTGGAGAGCTTTCTCGCTTACCTCGATGCACGACTCGAGGTCCGACTCCTCTTCTTCAGTATCCGCATCTGAATCATACGGGGGTCTAGGCTTCTTCGGAGCTGACGGAACGGGAGCGCTATAGACCCAATGCGGCTCCTCATCTTCATCTTCAATCTCCGTCGCCGAGTCGTCCGTAACAGCAAGCCTAGGTTTTTTGCTGGGGGACGGTCGCGCGGCCGTGGGGTTCCCAGCCGCAGCCCGCTTGCCTGGGGGCGGTTGAGTGGGTGGCGGCGCGTCTTCCGGCTCGCTCTCCTCGTACTCCGTGTCGGAGTCGTCGTGAGCGCCGGCAGTGAATGTTTTCTTGAGCTTCGCCTTGTCGTAGAGCATCGCGAGTGTCTTGGGCATTGGTGGTGGGACGACAACTTCGTCGTCTTCATCTTCCTTCTCATCGTCGTCGTCTTCTTCCTCTTCATCTGCGTCTGCAGGATCGTCGTCGCTCTCTGGAACGGGTTTGATCCCCAAGTCCCCTGTGTGCGAATTGCATAGTTAGATGACGGTAAAGAGGCTGAAGCGCGTCGATTTACCGAAGTACTGCAAGAGGAGATTCGGACGTGGTGGCACCGCCCCAGCTCTCTTCTCACCTGCAAGATTCAGCGTCAGCATCACTTCAACACTGCTGGTGGCTAAGTACAGACTTCCGCGCTGCGAGCCCCTGCCCCCGATTTTGGCAAGGGTCTCGCTCCTCCGCCTCTTGCTAGGCCGCGGCGAGTCCGACAGCTCGTCAGACTTCCGTGAACCTTTCGCGTTCCGACCGCGTTTCAACTTGGGTGTTGGCACAAACGACCCTGGATTGAAATCCGAGTCCGAGTCCTCCTCTGTTTCTCAAGTAAGCCACGACGTGCGAGGTGCAGTGCACGGTGCCGACTAACCTAATGGTACAGCGCTGGATGCGTCATTTCCTGTAAATATATTCAGTTCAGTTGGGTATAGAGCGCGGGGGAGGTTTCGTACGTTTTGCGTAGGCGGACGTCTTCGAAGCGGACGCGGCCATGGTGGTAGGAGACAAGTTGCAGTGAAGGCCAGGTTTAGCCACCCTTTGCTTCCTATGGGCCAGATCGGTTAGGGTTAGGGTCCGACTTACACAGCGGACAATGAGGGCTTTAGGCGCTCGCTTGTATGTTCATCTCATACATCGCCCCGGCGGAGGCTGAGGCTATTTATTGAAACGTGAAGCACTCTCAAAGCATGCTGGACGGCTCAGAAGATGAGCACGTCTCCAGGAAGTGGTGTCCTGGGCCGTTGGTCGGACAGCAGCGCAGGCATACAAGCGCGACAGCTGGACCACTAACATCTCTTTGCTAGTATATCGGTTAGTACACGCGCTTGTCATGTGTATGCGCGCGAAAGCTGGGTTCGACTCCCAGGCAGAGAGAATTTTTGCGCATATGTTTTTGAAGCTCACGGTAGTAGCATCGGTGTGTAGGTATAATATAGCGTAGTGCATCGTCCGTATATATATACTAGATATCGGTGGTAGTCGTAGCGACATGTCAAATTTACGTTCATACATATATGATCATCGTATCTCCCTCCCCAGAGGTGGTGTCCATCATACTCCTCCGTCCTCTCCCTCAGGCTCAGCGACCTGTAACCGCTCCAGCCTCAGCATCATCTCCGCCTCTACCCCGGGACTAACCGCCGACATCTCAGACATATCGTCCTCCAACTCCACCTTAGCTCGTCTCGGCTGCGGTGCCACCAAATGCTCCTCCTCCCGCACGGTCTCCTCTGAGCCCTCCTCCCCACTCACCTCCGCCTCCGCGCCCTCCTCTTCCCTAGTACTATCCGCGAGGTCCGGGAAGAAGAGCTGCGCGAGCCCGAGGTCGTGGCACCGCGTCATCTTGAGCAGCATCCCGAGCCCGAGGTCGTTCGAGCTCGTGGGCGCGCCGAGGAGGTCCCAGGTGGCGTCGTCGAGCTCCTCGGCCATGCGGCCCCATGTTGAGCGGATCGCGCCCGGGTAGTTGTATGCTGCGAGGATGAAACATATTGGCGAGCCTGCGAACATGTTAGTGAGTGAGACAAGGTCTAGAAGAGTAGTAGGATGAGGGTCGAGGGCATATTCTTGGGAAGTCGGCGCGTGTGATTCTGGGTACGGCGGCAGCGACGCGTCGGTGAAGGCGTAGACTGTACAGACGCAGTCTACACACTTGCCGAATCGATACTCTCTGCGAAAGGGAACGAAATGGCGAGTATGGACTCACAGAGACCGCTGAACTCCTGTTCACGCGCGAGGAATGGAGAGGCCCGTGTCTCATTGCGCTGCTCCCCGTTGTCTCCAGCGAGGTGATCCGGGAGGACGTCGCCCAGCCGGTACAGTCTCTGGCACGCAGGGCATATTCGCGCCGTCCTCCTGCTCTTGTTGTACCACAGGATCTGTCACGAATTGCACTCGTTACAGGGCCGAACAGACCACGCTGCATACAGCTGAGACGTACCAAGGCGGTTTCCTCCGGGAGCACCGTGCAAAGCATCTGCAGGACCGCCTCCTCCGCGAACTCCGCGCACATCGCGTCGTCCAGCGATGGCGGGGCGGCGAAGCGCGACGCGAGAAACGCGCGGGGATCCTTGACGCGGGGGCCATCTCCGGGGTCGTATATGAAGGGTGTCTTGAACAATGCCGAGGAAATCGGGGGCTCTGTGTCCGGCTCTTCCTGTGGGTATATTGGCAGATACTTCTCGTGTACTTCGTGCTCTACTGGAGGAGGAGGAGAGTCGTGTAACGGTTCGTCTGAGACATGGTGGGCGTGAACGGGAACGGTGAGCGGTGGCGGGGTTGCTGGTGCGGGTGTCGGGCTGGGAGACTGGGACGCGGAGGGCGCGGGAGGCGGCTTCTTCTCGACCTTCTTGCTTTGCGCGTTCTTCTTCTTCTTCTGGTTCCGTGGGCCGGGCATGATGGGAGGAGAGAGGGTGGTTGGAGTTGTAGGTTCGTGTGCCTGTCAGACCCGGAAGACTCGGAGAACGTTGCCACACCGCTGAGACAGACGCCCACTAGAGGCACCAGCGCTTAACCGTCACTATATTGACGCGCCCGTCACAGTAACCGTCGCGATCGGTCACAAAATATGTAAGGCCGATGAGCGTGGGCGCTTAAGCGCTTACCATCCACTGGGTTTCTCTTCTCCTTCGCCCGTCTTCCAGCATAATTGCGCGTCACGATGTCGGGCGGACAACGTTGATATGTATTTTTTTGAACACCGCATGCAGACACCAAAGTGAACGACTTCAAACAAACCACAGTGCAACCAGAACGACGCTCATTCCGAGCCCAAACACCGAAGAACCAACCCTCCCCGCTCCATTGCTTCCGCCAGTCGCGCTCGGGGTAGCACTCCCACTGTCCGTCACAGCAGGAGGTGCGCCGCTCGTACCAATCCTCGGCGGCACCGATGCGGTAGCGGTCACCCTCAGGCCTCCGGTCTGCTGGTCACTGCCCGAAGTGGCAGTGGGGGTAGCGGTCTCCGTTCCTGAGCTATCGGTGGGGGTCACCTGGGCGGTCGCGGCAACCTGCACGTCGAATGCGTTTGCGGTGGTCGTGATGATGGTCGTGGACACGATATCGCCCGCGGACGCGTCGACGGTGCACACCGCGACCGCGCCGTTGAGCCCGCAGTCCGCTGTGATCGCGAAGTTGAGCTCAGTGTCGTTCTCGACGAGGTGTAGGTCCGTCGGGCCCGCGACCAGCGTTGCTGTTGCGCTATCAGTCGCTGGCTTACAGGAAGAGGAGGTGCGGTATGCGTACCAGACGCGAAGAGATCAGAGTCTTCTGTCAGCGTTCCGCTGGGCACACCGGGCCCAATGCGCCAGGTGGTATGTCCGCTCGCATCGACGCCCTCGATGTCGGCCGTGATAGGCTGGGGGTCGAAGAATGGGATGTACAGGGTCGCCGCGGCAACATCTACCATAGGTGAGCTCAACTTCAGCGACCCTGATATACTGGTATCCTCCGCATATACTCACATTGTGCACTGAGGGCTGAGACGAAGAGTGCTGATGCGAAAGACTTCATTCTTAGGGCAGATATGGATCTAGTAGTGACAGGAGGTATGTAGAACGAGTGAAAGTTGCTGCCCCGAGGATTGGGGGCGATACTGACTGCAGGTCGAAAACAAGCTGAGAGGCCCGCAGATCACCCGCGTGTTTTGGCACTTATATGGGCGCTGGCAGCACCACCATCAGGCAGCGTCCCAACTTTGGCACTCACGTCAAGAAGCCTCACGAGTCATGTCGCTACCGGGCCCGGAGCCGCTCGCATGCATTACATCTCGAAGCACATTCTTCGCAGGGCAGGCCGTGCCCGAGGACTCCGGCGTCCGGATCGTCGTCGCTCTGATGGCTTTCCATCTCACGGTGAGTGATCAACAGTGGCTGTCCGCAGTCAAATCGACTGAATGGATTCTAGGGAGCTTCTTGCAGTATGCATCAAGTTATCATCTGTGATAGCGCGAATAACGGGTTGATCTTGCATCTAGGTCACGGCCGGGCTCCTCGCCATGTCCCCCGGAGCCTATACACAGGTGCGATGTGAGTTCACCGGATACGCTAAAACAACACGCTGATTTTGTGAGAGCTCATGTCTGTAGAGATCCGAATGCTCGGAGCCTCGCAGTAGAGGAAGCCTCGCTAAACTACCTCGCCAACTTCTGCTCGGCCGCCGTCCGCAGACGCAAGATGGCTACACATGTGCAGAGCCTATCGGCGCACATTTTCACGTAAACTTCCGTGCTAAACCAGCGGCTTCCTGTGTCCGAATGCGAACGAACCTCACAAACCGATGCCGCGACAGGTCATAACAACAACCGACTGACACTGCAGCCCCCCGGAGGTTTGCTTTTCTGCGACACCCTTAGCGGAGGGTATCGTGTTGCGACGGCTCGTTCAATATCGGTGGTGATATCAAGGTAAATACGGTGTTGGCCAATCAACGCCGTAAGCCTCTGCTGAGTGCTCGACGTCCTTTACAAACTTAGCGCAGTGAAGAGAGCGGCACTGACGGAAACCACAACGCGAAAGCCCAACCCTTTCGATACACTTCGCGGTTGTCTCAGCTGAACCCGAGATCGCGCCCGACTTCCCCACCTCCCTGCTTGCCCCTGGCCGCGACGCCGACTCCGATGTTTCAACCGGAGTGGCGGTCGCAACCCCATCCGACCCTGATGCACTCCCCACCGCCGTCGTCCGCTCTGAACCAGCCGCCATCGTAGTCGCGGTCGTCGTGTTTACACCAATTGAATACGACAATTTGAGACGAACTCAACCCAGGATCTTCAGCGAGAGCACGGCGAACGAGGAGGGCAGTTCTTGATCACTAGCATCCATGGAGCCCAGCGACGACGACACGTATGTCAACACTTTTCAAAATTTCTTGGAACAAGGCAATGCTACGTCGGGCCCGCTACCCATCGCATGCTTGCAGCGGGAATTCGATGTTGACCGAGACCAACCTCCGAAACAACGTCGAGTTGTCATTTCGAGTCTCGGTTGCTGCATGCATTCTGATTTTGAACAAATGTTGCAGCAGTGTTCACAAGGCGAGATGGCCGAGCGGTCTAAGGCGCCAGACTAAGGATCTGGTCCGAAAGGGCGTGGGTTCGAATCCCCCTCTCGTCACTAATATTTTGCTTCTCGAACCTTGGCACTGTGACTTAGGTCCACACCACCGTTGGTTTCTATTTGAATCATGCTATCGCACTGGAACATCTACTGCTTCAATCGAACACTCTTCCGCACCTGCAAATCAAGCAGGTCTTTCTTTTGCCTTCACCTTTCATACTTGCGATCTTTGCAAGAGATCTCGAGTGGGGATTGTTATTGACGGGAACAACCAACTATGGAACTAGAAAACGCACAGCCGAGACGGGCGAACGTATGTTCTATATTAAAGCTCTGCCTTAGCAACCACTTATGATTTACTACTACTAGGTCGTTTTTCGTTTGGGAAGAGTCCGCAATCCTGTGCGCATGCTAGTCTGGTCACGGTGCACCAGTGAACGTCACCCCATCATGCCTCAGGACGCCCCTGCCAGTCGCCGCGCAAACCATCCATGGTCAGACTTGCCTCACGCCATCCACCGAGGCGTCTCGTCTCACACAAAATCAGCAGCATAAGCCGCCGCAGACCTCACATGGGCGATGGCCATGATACGCCTCTACAGTCTCCATCAAATCGACCTTGGTAGCTCGCCTCAAGCGCTGAAGATGCCACGCAAGGGCAATCGCCACCCCAGCGCCGTGACACCTACATTCCTGTTCAGAATCACAATCAGCGCCGCAGAACCAATTGAATCCTCCCTGAGCATCGGCGGCTTCCTTCATAGGTACACTTGCTGGTACGTTTTCTGGAGCTCTAGCGGCAACCGCTGATTCATTATGGTT